AGATCTTGCTCTCTCTGACTGCTCAGCAGAGGTAGGTGGTCCATACCAAAAAAGCCAACAGACAACCAACCACCACCACTCCCCTGCTCCCAAATGCTGTGTGAACTAAAAAGCCAGGAACAAATCGGATCACTCTATCATTGATTTCTCTAATAAACACAATTTGTTTCCATGCTGCATTACAAGTGCTAAGTCTTGCCACTGCCCTGTATAGCTAAGTTCATTATTATTTTGTTTCACAGATACAGCCAAAGTGATCATTTTCAGAAGCCCTGGATTTTGAGTTGCTGGTTCTTCGGGGATGCCCCACTCAAGGCAGTGAACTACAAATATTCCACAACAAGCACATGCAAAAAAACCCAAACACAAATTATCCAATTTTTGGACTGTAGGTCAGAACTACATGACTGGCTAAAAACACAGGCTGCCTTAGGGAGAGCCCTTTCCCACAGTAAGCACTTTATTAGGAAAGCTTTAGTCAGAAGACTTCAGAAGACACATACTCAAGAACCCAGATAACTTTTCTAAAAGGCAGAAACGTCACTTATGTGTAGATTTCATCTCCTGCTTATCATCATTTCTATCAGCAGAGCACCACTTAGCCACCTCCCTCCAAAAGACACTTTGAGATACATGGTGCAATAAGCATATAAATTATCACTAAAGTATACTCTGTTTCATTGGGGCATTTCAGATTCAAGATGCTGTTTTAATGGGTTGCCTCTCAGGAAACCGCCCTCACCTGCAGTGACACATTGAATACTAAAGACTGGTGTTTAATTGGGGCAGTGCTAGTAAAATTTTGCTTCAGAGGGATTCAATTTAGGTGGTGCCAAGAAATTAAGTGATTTATCAGGTGTTAAATAGTATGTACTTCTAAACTCTGGTCTTCTATCATGCAATCCTACACCCACTGAACTTAATGAGTTTTGCCATTGACTACCAGAAGGATCCTCCTCCTAGTAAACAAGTTAACTAGTAAACATGAAGGCATATACTCTGCACTAACAGGTACTCAGCCTTGGCTAAGGGTAACAGGATTCTGGCTGTGTGATGCTGAACAGTCCTTCATCATGGGAAGTCTTCAGTGGGAGAGGGCTCTTTGCAAAAACAGCATCAATGAAGTATTAGGAGACATAACTCATTAGCTAAAAGTTAAGTAAATCTGGGGAAGCCAGCTAAGATTGAAAGCTCAGACACTCTGCTGATTGTTTGCCCTTTGGCTTTTCTGTTTTTCCTCTCTCTTATTTTAAACGATTACGAAGTACATCCTCCAACCCAAAATGAGCACCCATGAGACAAGTCCTGGAGCTACAGGTTTACTGTGCTGACTCCTGCATACCTGTACCACATACAGGTCAACACAAGAGAAAGTGCCTATATCCCCCAGCGTGCATCTAGAAAAAAAAACCTCCACTGAAACCAGTTGTGAAATCTGAATCACAGTAAGGCTCTGTGCCTTCACTGCTGCCCACAGAAAGCACTCTCAGCTCAAGCATCAGCCAGGTGGCACACAAGGGAGCCTGGGCTCAGAGAAGCCCTGGTCTGGGAGACCTGAAGCAGCCGATCTCCCCCCATATCCCCAGTTTTAGTTTCCCCACGACTCCACACTTGTGCCAGCACAACTGTTCGTATGGTCACATGGTAAATCAAACAAAACAACTCATATCTATAAAAAGGAAAATAAACTGTGTTCTTTGGGACCCTTCCATTTGCCTACTGAATTTTGAGTCTCTGCATGACACCATGGCTATATTCTCAAGGTATAATAATTTCAGGCAAAAAAAGGAGATCCTGATAATTAGAAAGCTCCAGGTGAGGTTTTAAACAGAATTTACCATCAACTGGACCTTAACCACAAAAATCATCAACTGTGTCTAAACTCCTAATCCTGTCTCCTGTTGAGCTTTTGCTCTCATGAAAGCCTTTGCAAAATGTTTACACTCTCCTAGTGCCTCAGTTCTCCCATCTGTGGGAGGAGAGGTGAGGCCGAAAGGATCACTTGCCAATACTGTAATGAGTGCCAACATTGTGGCAGTGTTTACAATAATATAATCAGTTAACTGCTATGGCTCAGGATCAGAGGAACAGGTTTGCTACCAACACAGATATTCCAACAACTGGGGAAAAAAAAGTGTCTGAATATGACAACCATACCAAACACCCCTTCCCAACCCACCGCAGAGTCAAAGCTTCAGACCCTCTCGGACTGGAGACCGACACAACCCCAAAGCCTACCAATTCATGCAGAGAGTATATTGATGCCCTAAGCTATAGCAAACACTTCATTCTCATCTCTGACCCCCAAGGTTTTATTTTTTAAACCCCAGTGATAACTTCTCTCTGCAGCTTTAGACTCTACACACACACTTAACTTCTGTGCTACAACAGCACAGCGGGACTGCTTGCCATCCACCAGGCAAGCACACATCCAAGTGTTGGCAAGGTCTGGATATTAGCACTGTATTTTTCATTTCTCAGAGAAGGAGTCAGTAAGAAGCTGGGACATAAGCAAAGCACTAGCCTTGACTCTTTGCTGAAGCTTTCCATGGTTCATCACCACAGGTATTACGGCATTTACTGCGTGCACCCTTATCCCACACCCAAGGAGGAAGAGGAGAAAAAACCCAAGCAGAAGAACAACAAAACAACACATTCACCAGCACCACTGCTTCCAGTTCACAGGCTCCTAATGAAACTTCCTGACACCCTTGTAGCACAATACTTGCCTACTTTTCAGAACAACACAGCAGCTTAGCAGCGAAGTTGGGGTACAGTGGGGACCTTGCTCCTCTGCCTCAACATTAAGCTCCATGCCACCAACCAGACTGGAACACTGAAAAAACTATCAATTGTACTCATATAATCACACTACCAGTTAAACACCTCCTCTTAAATCCAGCTGCTGAGTACAATCACCTCAAACACTGCTTGGTTGAAAGAAGAGTCAAAAAAACAATGGTAGTTTGAAAAGCTGAAGTGAAAGTTACCCGGAATGGTTTGACTCGTGAAGAAAAGCTTTCATTTGAAGTTCACATTTCTGTCTGAAAAGTTGTACTTTCTGTATTTGAAATCATCAAAATAACCACCAGAGAAGCCAGTAACAGCAGTTTTTGTCCTCTGACAAGATAATTGGAAGGGTCTGCATGGAAACTGCACATAAACAAACTACACATTAAAAAATTAAAGTAAGTTCAGATCATAACGTTTAGAATTAGTCACTTAAAAAAAAAATCAGTTTTCCAATGTCTGTCTAAATGTAATGAAAATTTGGCATTTATTCATTACAAGACTGAAGCAGAAGTTTGCTTGTATCTCTCCTGCTAGGTAGCTGATTCCTTACAATATGATTCTATAATGTACCTTACTGCGGCTAGGGAAGAACCAGCTTTACAGTTCCTGAAATCAACAGTAGAATTTCTCCTGACTTCAGTAAGAGCAGAAGTTAGCCTTGTATTTTCAAAATGACACAGTGAAAAAACAAGGAAATACAACTAATATGACACTACTTTTTCATGACATTCATTTGTGTTCTTCTGTCCAGAGAACACATCCTACCTTCCCATAGGGTTTACTAAAAAAAGACAAGCAGTAGTTATATTTAATTTTATATATATAGGAATTCAATGAGTCAATTGCACACGTTTTGCCTGGATTAGCATTTCACCAATACTGTAATGCGCATACAATACCCCATTATCCAATTTGTGTGTCTGTGCTATGAAAAGTCAAACTAGACTCTAAGCCACGAGACTTCACGGGATACAGGCCTGACTGCATTTAACTCAGCAAGAGAAAATACACCCAGAAGCTTTCAAATTGTGTTCATACCGTATAGAATGCAAGACTCCCCCGAACACACACGGGACAAGCAAACAAAAGAACCTCATGCTGAATAAGTGTTTATGCTAGGCTCTTCTCCTTAAGAGAGAGTCTGGAAATCACCTCTTCCTTCCAGAGTGGGAGAGACAACCACGAAAGATCTCTTACTTGGGCAGAATTAGTCAGGAGCAGAAGGTAGACCCCTGGCTTGCAATAAGGCAAAGTGTCTCCTAAACAAAACACAAAACTGAGGGGCAAAGGAGAGAGGAAAGCACTGTTTCTAATGGGCTGCTAGATAGGAAGGGTCTGGACAAAAATGGAAACTCAGTTTTGCTTCCATTGTATCAGCTTCATGCTACCTCCACTTTAAACAAGAAACTTCACGGGGTAACCTCCTTTTCAACAGGCCACGGCACGGAGAAACACATTCCCCAGTCCCTGGTAGAGAGGGCCGGGCTGCGCAGTCCTAGCTCCCCTACCTGCCGGCCGGCAAGCGATGACAGTAATTGCAGAGCCTAAAAATAAATCATACTAATGCGGATATAAAAAAATTAAAATAAAAAACAAAACAAAACAAAAACAAACAAAAAACAAACAAACAAACAAACAAAAACAAAAACAAAAAAAAAAAAAAAAAAAAAAAAAAAAAAAAAAAAAAAAAAAAAAAAAAAAAAAAAAAAACAAAACCAAAAAACCCCCACAAACCTACAACTCACTGCTGGTGGAAGCAGCAGCAGCTGCATCTCCCGGACGACAGAAAACTTTCTACGAAGTTGCTGGCGGGAACGGCGGGTAGCTGGCCCCGGGGGAGGCCGGGCCGGGCTCTGGGGCTCCCTTTAAAGCTCCCTGCCGTGAAGAACCACGCCACCACAACCGGTCGCGACTGCCGTGTCCCCTGGGGCTCGGCAGGAGCCACTGACAGCCCCGGGAGCCCCGTTCCCCCGCCCGCTGCGGGAGCCAGCGCGGGGAGCGCCCTGCTCCACGCTGCCGCACCCCGCGAACGCGGTGGGAGGCGCGACCTCCCGGGACCGCACTTCGCGCGGCGTAAAACGGGAGAGAGAAAAACAGTTATTTTCATCAAAATAACCCTGGGCAAAACACAGCGAAATCCACCGCCCCGAGGCGCCGGCGGACGCGACCCGCGCTGACAGGGGCCGGACAGAGGGACGGGGCTTTACCTTGATGCAACACTGAGCAGAAGCGTCGGACATCTCTCAGGAGGGACTCTGCGGAGCCCGGCAGGGCAGGCGCAGACGGGCAGACGGGAAGTTCCCGGGCTTTCCCCACTTTACGCTCCTCTGTCCGCCGGCGGCGCGGCCCCACCCGGCCGCGTCCCTCAAGGGGAAGTACCGCAGGCAGCGCGCCAGGGGCGGCGCGGTCGCTGGGGGCTGGGGGGGTCACCCCCGCCGGTCCCGGTGCCGGGTCCGCTCCTCGATCCGCCGCGCAGCCGCCCCCCCCGCACGCCGACGCCTCCGCGCGCGCACTGCCTCTGCGCGCTCTCTGCCGGCGCGGCTCCGCGTGAGAGGCATGGGGCGGGGATGAGGGAGGGGCGCGGAAGGTGGGCGGATGGGGGCGCGGCCCCGATCCTCGCCGGTGTTTTCCTCCTGAAAAGAGAGAAACCGAAGCGGCAGCGGGGGCCGGGCGTTATCGCCCCGCCCCGCGCCAACCGCTCATTGATCGGAGTTTCGGGGCCGAAACTGACGTGGGTTCCGCGGCACCGCCGCCGCCCCTTAAAGGGGCCGCGCCGCGGGAACGGCCGTGGCCCGGCGGGACGGGCCAGGGCGCGCCGGCGGCGTTACCGGTGCCGCGCGGAGGAGGCGGGAGCGCGGCTCGCTTTGGCGGCCCGTAAAATAAAAAATCGCACCAAGAGCGCCGGCCAAAGCGAGGGGAGGCTGGAAGGCCGCAGTCGGGGTCGCGTCGCTTTATACAAAGTGCCCGTTTGGCTCCACGCGGTGCCGCCACCCCCGCGAGAGCTCGCGTAGGGCCTTTAAGCACCGCCCGCTGGTGCCGGGGCGGGCAGTGGATGTGGCCATGGGCGGACCCGCGGCAGCACAACGAGCCTTGTTTCGCCGCCAGGGCCGCCGCTTTAAGAGCCCCGGCCAGGAAATGCGGCGCGGGTCACGGCGGGGCACGGGAAGTCCGCGGAGGCGCCGCCACTCTGTTTCCCCAGCCCTGCGCTCGGCCCGGGCCCGCGGCGCTGCCCGCGTTCAGACCCCGGCGCGGTCGCACCGGCTCAGGGTTTCGGGGAGGTGGTGTATCACCCGCCGCGTGTGGGACACGTAGGAGCGTGTGTGATTTCCAGCCGTGTCGGTGTTAACGCTGTTTTCCATCACCCTCTGGCTTCTGGACAGTGCAGCCCCAGCCCTCGTGACGAGAGTGAAAAGGGTGGGGGGAAAGGTGAAAAATACCTCGGCCATATCTTCGTCTAAATCTCTCTGTGATTTTACAGGCAGTTTTTGGTGTCCTGGCTGGTTTTTGGATGTACCCCCTGTATTGCAAGTCCCGAACGTGCCTGGGAGCAGATGACTGCTTTGTACCCATCGCACTGCGAGGCAGAACTGCCTCGGGAGTCTGCTGTAAGGATGCTGTGCATTGGGATAGAACAGGCTCCTATTAAGTGATTTGGCGCTACTGAAAATAGCAAACGAGAAGGAATCCAGCCTCGGTATTTCAAAGCAAACTTTAGCTCACATTACAAGACGCCTGCTTAAGCGTGGCATGCTGGCATCAAATGCAGTGCTGCTTCACCTGCGTGACCAAGAGGCGAGACTGCTGAGGCCTCCCAGTAGGCACCCCTTAGTCCATTTTGCAAATCAGGACCAACTCCTTGTAGTCTCTTACACCTTCATTTTGGCCAGTCCCTGAAAATGAGGAAGAGGGAGCAACCAATGACCCTTTTTTAACATAGGACCAACTCAGTAATGAAGGATTCATATTCGCGTGTCTTCCCTCATTGTGGCTGAACGACTGGAGAAGAGCTGTTGCTATTGAGAATCATAGAATCATCAAGGTTGGAAGAAACTTCTGAGATCATCCAGTCCCATAATCAACCTAGCACTAGTGGGTTAGAGTAAATCACATCACCCAGTGCCAGATCGAGACACCTTTGAACACCTTCAGGAATTGTGACTCTACCTCTCCCTGAGCAGTCCTGATGGCTGACCACCCTAACAGTGAAAAAATTTTTTCTGTTACCCAATCTGAATCAGCCCTGTCTCAGTTTAAGGCCATTTCCTCTAGTCCTCTCACTGTAGGTATGGTAGAGGAGACTGGCCGCCACCTTACTATAGCCTCCCTTGATGTTGTAGAGAGCAATGAGGAGGACCTCTGGAGCCTCCTCTTCCCAAGACTACAAACACAGCTCCCTCACCCATTCCTCATAAGACATGTTTTCTACACCCTTCTAGGCCCTTCTCTGGACATGCTTTAGCACCTCAATGTCCTTTTTAAAGTGAGGGGCCCAAAAGTCAAGGTGCAACCTCACCAATGCCAAGTACAGGGGTACAATATAATGTCTGTCTTTCTCCCCTCTTATCCTTTCTGCTTCATCACCATGACATTTTGCCTTTTTACTTGCACGATTACCACTATTTTGCCTTTTTACTTGCACGATTACCACTATGAAGGGCTGAGTTACTATTCTCTGTCTCATGGCAAGTTGGGAGTTTTTGTGATTCCTTATGCTAATATAGAAATTCAAGGCAGAAAAGTCCTGTTAGGTCATCTACTCTGCTCCCCTGCTGAGAGAGGATTTACAAGTGCATAATTGCTCTTTCATTTTAAATGCCTCAGGTGATGGGGCTTCCACCACTTTTGGAGTCTGCTTCACAGTCCAGAACGTCCCATGGTCAGGAAGATATTTAGCTTATATTTTCATTTGTTCAGTTTCAGCCAATTACTCCTGGTTATAAGCATGTTTTATACTTCCCTAAACAGTTGTACTCCTCTCTGGCTGTTTGTGTCTTACACACAGATATGGCTATTTTCCTGGCCATTGCTATTCTTTATCTCCTTTCATTAACCAGTCCCTGCAGCCACTTTACTATTGGTCTTCTTTGATCCCATTCAATTGCTCATCAGTTCCTCAGCCTATGGATGCCCACATTTAGGGCCTTATCCTCTGTGAATGGAGCCAAAACCCCATCATAGTTTCATTTGTCTCAAAGTTGCCTCAAAGGTTGTACAAAATTTGTCACCTGACATTGCTCTGAATCTGATCTTTTCCTGTTATTCCCCAATGTTCCCTCTTGCAGTGCAACTGCAATCTATTTTTCATTTTTCTGCCTGGAGTTTCAGCATCTGTTCCTTCCCTCTCAGGTCACTGATAGCTGCTGTTCCTCACAGTTTGTTTAATGGCCCTTACAAATACAGACCTTGATCCCTCTCCGCAGACCTCTCAACCAGTATGGATGGTTGCGAGTATCTGTCCAAGACCACAACCTGTTCTAGAGCAATTGTCTTCCAGCTCTTTCTGTTCTTTGTGTTTTTCCACTACTCCACTAAATGTGAATGCAAAGGATGATAACTAGAAAAGGTAGGGAGAGAAATGGTGAATGTGTAGAGAAGGCCACAGGTATGAGTGTGGCACCTCTTTAGCCAGAAGTCAATCCCATTGAAGCTGCTGCAAGAAAGCTGGGAAGGAAATGTGGCTGGGCAAAACACACACCACACCATCCTGTGGTCTGTCCTTACCCACAGAAGCTATGCCTTAACCATACTAGCTACATGCTAGACAGGGACTGAAGAACATCTTTGAACACTTCGAACAAGGAGGACCAAACTCTTTGTAATGTGTTAGCTTTTCTGCTTGGTTCTGCCTTATTTCTCTGGCCTGATTTCTTCCAGTCTCTCTCAATTCCATCTCTTGAGACCTGACATTATGGTCCTGGCTGCTGCTCTGTGCAGAAAAAAAACACTGCCAAATCTCCAGGTGTGCAGCATGCCCATGGTTGCAGGACTGTGGTTCTGAAAAAGTAAGAGGAAAACTTCTCCAGCTCCCCTTTAGATCTGCGCAGCGCGGAAAGGAAGTCTATTATCTCTTGAACAGGCTCCCAGTTAGTTTCCTTCACTCTCACCTAGAAACTACTGCTTAGCTTATATCCATGGAGGAACCATTAGTTAAAGGCAGGATTTACAATCCAACAAAGCCACCTGTCATCAACACCCTATCCAGAATTCTAACTTTTTGTTCGGGGAACTTTTTACAACTTAGTGTGGCAAAAGGTACCATGGCCTTGGGGCTCTCCCAGGAAGGGAGGGTGAGTGGCATGCTGGGGGACAGCAGCAGGATGAGAAAACCAATAGACTGGAGTATGTTCCTTCTCCTCATAGTGACCTGAAAAATCTGGCTTTAGATGCTTGTATTTTCTGGTCTAAAGTTTGTCTCTGAAAACAGAGTGAACCCTGAAATAAAAGAGGCAAACCACCCCTTCATTGGGACTTGTAATTTTCTGTCCACAGCAGTGCACCATACCAGCTTCCACTGAGTCTCTGCCAGTTGGGCCTCTTTTACAGCCATAGGACTCCCAGCATCTTTCTACATGTACTTACTCAACAACTAGGCTAGGGGTTTTTTTCATATGTCCATAAAGGATGTTGAAGCCTTTTTCCCAAAGGGTTTAGATGCTTGGGTCCATATGAAAACCAAGGTTTTCATTCCTTCTTTTGTGTACCTGTTTTCTGGTTTCAGCAGCGTGCAGCAATATCTCAGATGTTTGCAGTAATCATTGACTTTTATTAAGGAGACTTTGTTCATAGTAATATTTTTTCTTTTCTCTTTTTATTTGCAAACCACTCATTAGTTTCCAGTGCCCCATTATCATTAACTCATCCTACTGTTTCTCCGCTGTTGTCTTTTCCTTCCCTTTATCTTTCTCTAGCACAACTTCACTGACTCATTTAGTGCTCGCTTCTATGCTTCATTTGTATTACTAGTTTTATTTTTGTCTTCCATTGTTTGAGCAGATACAAATAGTCACTTCATATGACTTGATGGATGTGTTGACATTACTGAGCCTCAACAGAGATGACTCTCTTCCAGACTGAGGGACAGGATCAACTCTTCAGGAACAAAGCACAGTAAGAGACAATAAATTCCAAGATCATGGAAGGATACATGGACATTACCATGCAACTGAGTTTTTGGTCTTGAGGGCACACAAAGAAGTCCGTGAGGGCTGGTACACGGAGGTGCTGTGGAAGTGATCCCCATTGCACATTTAGCATTACGATTCTTTTTCCCTTACCAAATTAGTTTCTGAAAATAAATTGTATTTTATGGCCCTAGTATGCATCAGTCATGCTGCTTTTCTTATCATTAGCGGTAAGACGAGCTTTCACTCCATGTTCTCAGGCAAATCGTTTTTCCAAGATTTAACCAGGTTAACATTTCTTGTGGTAAAAATCCCAAATCCTTGGCTTTTTAGGAATAGCTATTAAATTCAGTCTGTGGTGTTAGAATGAGAAATGCTGTATCCATTTTATTTACATTTTTGCAAATTTGTTCATCTAGGATAATCTTCTTTGAGATTCTATGGTCTGGCTCTATGAATAGGATTTGCACCAGTATAAGGATTTTGATAAAAGGTTTGTTTTGTTTTGCTTTCATTTGGTTTTAAATTAAAATAGCAATACTTGTGCATTTCCTAAAGCTGCAGGCATTTTGATTTAAAGATACTTGTACAGTTTACATAGGCACTTTACATAGCTTTCCTATTTCAGAAACCCACATCAGTCAAAATAGAAATGCAAAAATCTTGGTAATGACACTTATTCGCCTGAACATTCTTTATGGTCCAAGTCATGTCATCCTTACATATCATCATATACTGTCTTATTTTGAATCGAGTGTATTGCTTCTGAAAATAAGAGAAAAATTTTCCATTGCTATAAGTGTGACTTCTGTGTGAGAAAGGGGATGGGAAATTGAGGACTGTACTGATTTAACTCCTCTTTGTTGTTCAAAGCAGTACAACCTTTTCTGAGAGACAAATTCATAGTCATGTTTGAGAAGCAGACTCCATTGCCCAAGTCACTGCTTAGATACGTGCTGACAGTGCTACTCCTGGCACATACGTTCAAGTTGCAGCGTGTAAAAATGAGGCAGTGAGTAGCCCTGACAGAGCTCCTGAGAGCACTGACTCCAGTGACACCAGCCTGGCAGCTATACCTGACTCTCAGGTTAGTCTAAACTGCTTTGGACCACAGATGCCTCTTATACCACTGTGGAACAACACCATGGCACCACAAGGCAGTTACAGCCAAGTCCTTTTGTGTTTTTGTTACAGCATGGTGCCAAAGAGCAAAGCTTCCAGGGCTACTGCCCTGTAAAAGCACCCCATCCCACATTGCTGTGCTGTGCAGGTTACACCACATCCTCCTTTGGCCATGCCAGCAACTGCCTTTAGAACTGTGAAAAGGCACAGGAATATATCATCTGTATATTTGTACATGTGCATGTTTGTCCCTGTGTTTAAAGCCAGCTCAGTTTCCCTGGCTGTGGTGTAAGCAGATGGAGACTGGCAGGGACAACTTAAACTGGAATCTTGTGATCCCTCAAAGGCACAGATGCAGCTTCTCCTCTCAGCTGGTAGCATCTCTTGCTCACCTCCAAAGAGACAAGAGGCTTGTTGAGGTGCCTTTCCTTGCCCCAAGACTACAAAATCTTGCCCCAACAAAATGTGTGGAAGGGCCAACAGGCATGCAAGGACCAAGGATTAAAATCTGTCTCTGCCTTTGGCTATCCAGCCTTTGGCTGGAGATGGACAAGGCCAGGCAGGCTGTATCAGAGGCTCTTCAGAGGAGGGAGAGTGGCTCCTGAGCCTGGGAGGGCTGAGAGGAACAGAAAGTATTTCTGCTGGGGGAAGATCAGTAGTAGGGAGCTGTAGCAGAGCTGAGTTAAGAGGCTGGCCTGCACTGGGCAAAACCTCTCCACTCAACCTACTTCAGCAGGGCTGGTTGTTTTGTGGAATTTAAATCTCCGCAGATATGTGAGGAACTTCCTGGCATCACATGCAGTGACAGGGGCAGGGCTATGCTGTTCAGGGTCATCCACCAGCCACAGCCAGAGCAGGAACCAAAGTCCTTGATGCCACAGAGAAATTTCTGTGGAAGTGGGCTCATCATTTCTTGAGCAGGCAGGGTGTGCAAAGCACCAGTAAATAAAGGAAAGCAAAAGAAGTTACCAAAAATAGGATTTTTGGAAGACAATTCTGCAAAGTACTAGATGCCCAGCTACCAATTTCAAACTATACCTTTGTGTTTTCTTGCATAGTCCAGAACGCTGAAGTGTATGTCTGTATTTACAACCTCATGAATTCAAAATAATGAGTTAGTTGCCTCTCACTTCAAAATCACTAGAGTTTGAGGGGAAAAATTACTTTGGAAAATTCTTTAAATTGTATGTGTCTGCATTTTCTTATCTTGCCTCTGGATTTTGTCATGTAAAGTGAATGTTTTCAAACTTCCCCCCACAAATTTTGAATGCTGAAAAATTTCTTTCTTCTCTTTCCTTCCATCTTTTCTTCTTTCTTCTCTTTGTTATTGTTCTCCCTCCCTTCTTACCTTCCCACCTGCCTTCTTATTTCATATGTAATTAAAATTACGTAGACCAGAAAAATTAAGAAATAATAAGATATATGATGAAACTCAAAGTAAAAGCAGAAAAATTATCAAGCTATATTCTGTTACTGCAAAACATTTAAAGCAAAGATAAAAATAGAAGCTGAAGGGACGGAGTTCAAATTCTGTGTCAGAAAAGTCCAAATTGATTTATGTTTTGCAGGTACTATGGCTGATTTTTACTTCTCTATTTCATTCACCTCAGTTGCAGAGGTGAAATACATTTTTCTAAAAACCCAATCCTCTCTATTAGTAATATTTTCACAGGTTCACCACTCCCTCTCTCCTTTTTCAGCATAATTTTCTCCACAAGGTGTCGAGATTACAGCTGTCATAGCTGTTCAAATCTGTAGTTCTCACTCTGTCATCTATGTCATCTTACTGGCAGTAAAAGAGTGATACAAATTGTTTTCCTGCCAGATAAAAACTGTCTAGTAGATTTAATGCTCATAATATAATGTGAGGAATAACTTTATATGAGCAACAGCAGTCAATCTGCTTATTATGGTGTTCTGTCCCCTGGTATTGTTGGGGGAAAAATATTAGGTAGAAGCCTGTGGAAGCTCAGCACCTTTCTGACCAGTTCTGAACACTTTGGGGAAGGGGCTTATAGCAGTATGACCACACAGCTGCAAACCCAGTGGACTGATGTGAAACCTCAAGTTTAGAAATGGAAAAGAAAATGGAAACTCAGCTAATGGCTGAGTGTTGTGTGTGCTCAGCAAATGGCAGAATGAAACCCTGGCAAATGAAAAGAAAGTAACATGAGTACAGCTTGTTGCACAGAATTGTGATTTATCTGCTTTTATTTTCAACAGTTACAGTGGCACTGTGATGTAGGATTTTATAGTGTATTAAATCATGCCTGACGTTTATGGATATAGTTTAGAGTGCATGCATTATGATAGTTAGTGGCCTCTCTGTGGCTGAGCAGCAAACAGTTTCCATTCACAGGAAACTCTTTCCACTCCATCCTCGAGCCTTTATGTAGCTTTAGCTCAGATGCTGCCAAATACTCTCCAAAGAAAAAGATTTTGGTGAAGAACGCAAAAAATAAACCACTTTTCTATTCCTGTTGAGTTCAGATTGTCCTGATTTAAAATTGCCTTTATTTCTGTTATTGTCTTGCATTTCCAAAAGCAGGAAAGGGTTAACTGCAGCTTCTTCGGGTGCTGCATATTCTTCTATCTTCCATGAGAATAAACAGATTGCCCTCTCACAGGAAGGAGGTGGTTGGCAGCCCAAGTTGCTGATGATGTTTTTGTAGGGAGTGGCATAATTAAGACTGGAAATTTTAGCTGACCCCAATACTAGCTTGGGAGAGTACTGGAAAGAGGCACAGAGGCGGGTGGATCTGGGTGCATCTGGTTCATCACTTAGATGGTGGGAGAGCAGCATCGCCACTGCTGCCTGCCCAGCACATGGTTCACTTCCCCTTCCCACCCTCGCGGGGGGACAACATCTCACTAGACTGACCCGTCTTTGCAGCCACTGCCTGAGGAGAGCAAAGGTTAAGTCTTGGGTTGTACCCATCAAGACAGGCCTGAGAGGGTAGCCAGGAAGGAGGAGGAGGAGGGAGGGCATCTTGAACAAGTCCTGTCAACTGTAGCAGAGAGAAAGGCAGTTGGTGAGGATGGAAAAGGCAGTTGAGATGAGGACCAGGATTTTGGTTCAGGAGAGGCCTCGCCAGCAATTTCAAGGGGAGAGAGAGAATGATCAGAGAAGTACGTGGGATAGGTGACCTTGACTGGAGGGGAATTCAGCTTCCCTGCCTGTTGTCCCTGTGGCCAGAGAGACTCCTCTGTGTCAGAGGCCTATGGCACAGGGAGGTTTGTGACCAGAAGAATGGAAGGCTCTGGCTGCCTGTGGAAGACACATATGCCAGGGCCTGAGCTAAGTGCAGATTGCAGTGGTCACAGCTACCACTGCAAGAGATTCTCTTAATTACCACCTTAGATACCACCTTACAAGGGGTAATTAAGTTTTTACACAATCCATGTGAGGTAAGCGCACAATTCTCACTCCTGTTTTAGAGCAAGGAGGAGACAGAGGATGAGCAGTGTGCCGACAGCCAGGTGGTGAGTCAGTGCCTGTGCTGCCATCACCAACCAGGAGCTCCTGGTTCCTAGCCTGGTCTGCAACCAGTCTCCCTGACGAGAGATGACAGTGAGCTGATTTTTCAAGCACTTTGATGAGAGAAGGAAGGTTAGAAATAGCCTGCAGCTGTTTCTAAAGAAAGTGTCAGGGCTGAAGGAGAATTTCAGAGGAGGGGAGCAGGAAAAGGGATGGTGGTGCAGTAACTACTGACACCAACAGTTATGAACAGGAAGGAAGAAAAAAATTAGAACCCAAAGATGGGGGATGGGTCAATAGAGAAGGTAGATTTTCTTGAGAAGGCTTGGTGGAGAGAGGAAGGGTGACAGCAAGAAAAGAGCAAGCAGCAGTGGGAAGAAGAAAAAAATACAGCAACAGTGTGCATGGTATTTGAAAGCTATTGTGTCAGGAGGCAGACAAGAAAAATGCCACCAAACATGGGGTCTTACAGGGTCTGGGCAATTATAATAATGCTATTGTTTCTTACACAGCAGCTGGAGATCTTGGAGCCCTCCACTGAGCAGGGTAAGCATCATTACCTTTGTTTCACCTACGGGAGAACTGAGGCTCAGAGCAGTGAAGCCCCTTGCCTCTGGCCACTCAGTAAGGCCAACACATTATTCTGGTTTAAACTGTTATGATAAATGCAACTTGAAATAGGAGTAGAACAGACAGGGACACACAGTTCTCAGTGGCATAGGAGAGAAGAAGAAGAGATGACTGATGTCAGCAGCCCAAATTTATTTTTTATAGCTCTAGAATACATAATGTGAAGTAAAATGACAGGTGGAAGCTGTAAGCTTTGGATCCTCAATGCTTTAAACTACAAGCTAAGTAGTTGTAACAGGCAGACACTCCACTATATGCACAAATACATGTGCACACAATAATTCTGATGTGTGGTTTGTGCCCTTAAATAATTAATTTCCTTAGTTTTCCAACTTTCAGCAAAATTAAGGTAACTTACAACTACAAAAATGGAGACGTGTATACACCAGAAGACTTTCACAGCCCCCAAAGTCCTTAGAGATAGAATAGGATAGGACAGAATAGAATATTCTGGTTAGAAGGGACTTGCAATTGTCTGGAAGCTGCATATGACCACTATCCTGTTGGGGTCATCTGTTTGGGGTAAGTTATGTATCACAGGGCAGAAACTATATGCCTGACAGCCTGTGGCTACCACATCAGAAGGAGCATTATCTTAAAAAGTAGAAGCCCAGAAAATACCCACCAGTGTTACTGGTGGATTACACTCTTTGAGGTAGCATAATGTTTTTAAGGCCTAAGAAAGTAAGATGCTTTTGTTAAAGTTCCTCTTCCTTTAAAAAAAATCGCCTTTCCTCACCTCCTCTTTCTCCTTTTCCTCACAAGAAATGAAGAAATGCAGCTATTTTTTACCTTACTTTGAGGAGACCATAGAGGCATTGTCCACCAGTGTAACGTTTCCTGAAGGAATCAGGAAAGAACAGTATAAAAGGCCTATTTTTAGCAACACTCTTTTGGTTCTAATTATTCTAATTTCACCACCTCTTCTTCTTTGTCCCCAGCTACTCGGGAGTATCAGGGGCTTCCTCATTTCCTTCCCTCTTTCCCACTTCCATATTTCCTTTCCCTCCTCCTTGTGCAGAGGGCCATGGCACTTCAGCTGTGCAGTGCTACCACCCTCTGGGCACCGTTCACATCACAGTCCTGTCTGCAGGAGTGCCCTGAGCTCCACCATCTGCCTCGGATATCTCTGTGAGATAAATGCTGCCTTTCAGTGTACCCAGTAAAAAGAGACAGTGATTTACACCTTCTGATGCAGCTTTACACAATGCCTGTTTCGGCCACTTGCTTTTGTAAAGAAACTTCATCTGGGTGAAAAATGCAAAGGTAAACACTTCCAAATGTATTGGTCCTCCACTGGTCCAGTACCCGTGGTTGGTGGGTTCATCTCCTTGTGAGTCCATGTAAGGATGCACCCTTTGAAAAAAAAGTTCAGTAGCATCTCTAACACTTCTCAAAAACAAGCTATTCCTTCTTTTCCTCTAATCTACCATCTTGTCCATAGCCAAGTGCTCATTTATTTAAAGAACGAAAAGCTATCAGGAAAAAACACATCTACTATGCCCACCGTTTTGCTATACAAGTATATTTCCCAAAATTAAAACCAGGAACTCTTGACACACAGGATTCATTTTTTCTTTTTTCACTTTCATCCACAAGAGAGACCGTGGCTATCTGCCCAGATGAAGAGGGAGCGACAGAAAACAGTGGCATCTTGCATCACACCATTTTCAATGGTCAAAACTGGTATGTCACAGGATGTGAAAAGCAATGAATGTCAAAGTCAAAGGAACTTTGTACCAAGGCTGTACTTTATCTCTGGTTCCTCTCTGGGTACCAACAGCAAATGTGTGTCTTTGGGTGGAAAGTAAATATATTTTGTCTATGCCGTGGCTTACCTTTGGGGGTACTGCTTCTTACACCATTTTCTAATGTTGATGACACAATGCATTACAATAGTAATAATGAAAAACAACAACTACAATAACAAAAATAGAACAAAAAACCCCCAACCCAAAACCAACAACAAACACACCAAAAAACCCCCCCAACTTCATAATCCAATATAGAAAATTAGGTTGATCAGACAAAGATTTCCCACACTGCAGCTTATTTTCTCAGATGTGTGTTCCTCTTGAGAAGCAGATTCTCTATTTCATTTAATATAACAGATAATGATGGAAATTACAACACCTATTTGTAATCAAGATAAGGGTTTGGATTATTTTGCTTTATGATTCTAAATCTCTTACTAGCTGAGTGGGTAAAAACATGCATAAGGTTGAATGACTCATCCTTGTGCTTCACAGGTAGATGTGGCTGCCATCAAAACCTACTGAGAGAGCATAGGTGAAGAGGGCATGTCTTAGATGTCCCTCCTTGATACACCTTCCCACAGATGAATCTCCAAAGATACAGAGTCCTTTCTCAAACTTTCTTACAAGCTGGAAAACTTCAAAATATCTTTACAAAAGAAATAACATAGTTGTATGGTGTTCTTTTCCCCAGCAGCTTGTGTAGTTTCTACAACAACTCTGTCTCCAAAAATCCCAGTTGAACAGGCTGGCTCCTATACCATTTATTAAGCCCCAAACTCTTCTAGTTGCCCACCAGCCAGCAAGTCTGACCAACGCAGAATAGAGGAAAGGATGGGGGAAAAAATATCAAAAAGTGTCACAGGCACCTGAAAAAGAGTCAAATAGGCACCTGAATTTAAATTAAAGCTGCCACTTTGCCCACTGCTGATCATAATTTTGTCCAGTGTACCTGGAGTCATTGGTCAACCCCAGAGTGTCAGACCATACGAATGTCACAGTGCCACCCTGATCTCCAGAGTCCAGAGAACACAAAAGCTTGGGGTTTAGTACCTTGCTGGGGGAATATGCACATGTGAGTTCACCTCTTTGTTACAGCTTTCTCACCAAACACGGATGAGAATAATGGTAAAGCAGGTGAACATGAATGGATGAAAAAGAGAACAAGGGAGCTAGATTGTCATGTGAAAGGGGGGAGTTTAGATTTTTGCCTGTTGGTGCCCCCAGGAAAGTCGAGACCCATGTGTCTGACCAGTCTGGCAGCATCACACAATGAGAGCCTTCAGCAACAGATTCACAAGATTGGAGGGTGATTTGATTGCCTTTGTCGGGGGGTGCTTAGTCAACAGCATGAAGACCCCTCAGTGGGCCCTGCCAAAGTGTTATCTGCTGCTGGACCCACTCTAACAGTTCATGCAACAACACCTTTTATTAATACAAATTGTGGCAGGTTTGTGGTCGTCAGTGATATGATGCAAAAATATGTTCTAAAGCAATCTACTGGTATATGTATTAAGCAAGCACAAGCTCTAATCCTAAAAGCAAGTATTTAACGAGTGTAGAATATAATTCTAACCAAATGCATCCCTGTGGGGAAAGAATATAGGCAGTTTCAAAGTACCACAAGTTCCCCCTTTCTGCCAGGATTTCAATGGAGGGAGGTCAAGTAGTCTTCATTCCACTCTACATTCCATCCCTCTAAGCAGATGATTATCATTGTACAGGGAGCACATCGACTGCATTCTGTCCAGGCAGTAGCAGCTGCATTTATCACAGAATTCTTAACCTCCTCTAAATTTTAACCATATCCATCATCCCACATAGATATTATCATAGTGTAAGAGAAAAGGTTCATTTTGTCACTTGATTTACCACCCTTGGAGACACAAAGTCAGAACGCACATAAGCTATAATAAAACCAGGTAACATGATTTGAAAGGTGAACACAGCTCTGACAGTTGTTAGTGTTGGCCTTCCATCAAACAAGAAGACACATTGCTTGTTAAACAAGTCTAACAGCACTAGTGTTTTCCAACAGCATTACTTTCTGGAGCCAAAGTGTTGCAATCTATAAAGTGTCTTGCTACTCTTATTTAGGAGAAGAGCCTTATGAATGTGATAATCTTTTAAGGTCCAATTTTATCATATAACATGCTGCAACTTATGTTTCGTATATATGGCTCATAATGAGATTAGTGGAGTATAAATGTTCATGCAATTTAAATAAACAGTCTCTTGAGTGCCTGGCATTAGAAATATAGTGTTCTGTATTTGCCTGCAGGCACTGATGTTGCATCCCATAATTGTAAATAATTTATGTCTGTCATATTAAAAGGCATTTGATTTTAATGGGAGAGTTTAATCTTTTCTTTGTTTCAACCATCATATAATTTGGTTAGTTACCATTTGTTGGATTTTTTTCCATTTGCCACAAAAAGGCCAAAGTCTTTTATTTAGTATTTCAAAAGCAGACCATATAGAGTTGCCATTGGCACAGCGTATGGAGCAGCCATTGACTCAGTACTGTTCAGAGATCACTATTCAGAGACCACTGTTGTAACATAAAATTTACCCCATTAATCTTGTCTTTACAGATTTCAATTTATATAATTTTCCATTCATACAATCTGAATGATTAATTCCCGTATTAATATTCTTAGTTGTTCTGATACCTAGATATTTCTTAAGTTTCAGAAAATTAATATCCCTTCTTGGTTCAAAGCCCCTCTGTGGAAGTTAACCTTTCCATATCCTAGATAAAAGTCTTCTTTAGCTCATCACCCAGCTATTAGGCACCGTAGTAGTATAATCTTGATTCTCAGTAATATTCTACTGGTGAAAGAAACAGTTATAAAGTATTTTGATAGAATTAATTGTTAATATTGAAGTTACTAGAGATAAACAAGAACTGCAAAGGTATTGTCTCACACTACAGAGCATAATTTTGCTAAGGCACTGCCATGATGAGTTTAACAGTGTTAAAAGTTCACCAATCATGATAATGCTGATACATGATGAAAGGTTTTCTCCCCATATAGACTCTTAACCAACAAGATCTAAAACATCACCAGCAAAATTAAGTTTGTGATGTTGCTTTGCTAAATGAGAGATCTGTGATTAACCTGCCCATCCCTGCCTCCTGATGCCTGTTCTCAGTGCTTGCAACTCTCCGGCTCAAACCCCAGCATTACAACCTGGTCCTGGAGCCAGACCAGGTGATAGAGCCAAGTAAGAGGAGGAGGAGGAAGAAACCTTCCTGTTTGCATAACTGGGTGGCCTGACCTTTAATGCATGGCCTGGCAGAAAAGAATGGTGTTTCTTTTCCTCATTGTATGACTGGGTCTGTAATCAGTAATTCCATGCCTTTATCCACAGCTGCTATTTTAATTTCTTTTAAAGCAAGAACCAAATTTCTCACGTCTATAGAACTCAAGGCTTTAAGAGAAGGCAACTGATTGAGAGAACCATGAGCCAGTAGTGTGTCCTTGTGGACAAGAAGGCCAATGGTGTCCTGGAGTGCATTAGGAACAGTATTTCCAGTAAGTAGAGGGAGGTGATCCTGCCCCCTACTCAGTCCTGGTATGGCACATCTGAAGTGTCCAGTCCTGGGCCCCTCAGTGCAAGAGAGACATGGAGCTACTGGAGCAGGTCCAGTGGAAAGCTACAGAGATGCTGGAGGACTGCAGCATCTCTCAAGAAGAAAGGTTGAGGTATCTGGGCTTGTTCAACCTCAAAAATAGAGGACTGAGAGGGGACTTCATCAATGTATATGAAAGGAGGATGTCAAGAGGCAACATCAGCCTCTTCTCAGTGGTGCCAAATAATAGGAAAGAGGCAGAAATTGATTCCTACAAAGTTCCACCTGAAAATGAGGAAGAACTTTACTGTGGAACTGACCGTGAAATGGAACAGATTGCCAAGAGAGTTGTAGAGTCTCCCTCACTGGAAATAATGAAGAACTGTCTGGATACAATACTGAGCAGTGTGTTCTAGCATGATCCTTCCTGAGCAGGGAGTTAGGACTGGAAGAACCACTGTGGTCCCTTCCAAACTTACCCATTCTGCGATTCTTTGAAAACTTAAGAAGGTTGGGATTTTTTTTTTTAATTTTCTGACTCTTCATCTAAACCAATTGTAAAATCTCTGAAGCAACACCTCCTGAGAACAGCAAGTTAATTTTCCCCTCAAGGGAAAAGGAGGACCAGTTGAGGCTGGCATAAGTGTCAAAGGAGAAGGACAGTTCAGGTAGTGAAAATACAGGGATCTGTGGTCAGATAAGATCAGATAGGATCTGAGGAGCTAGTCTGCATATAACTCCTCCTCAACTAAGAAAGGCAGATGTTTAAGAGACTTTGCTAATTTCCTCTGCCTGGAAACATGTAAGGAATTCAGAGCAGAACAGCAAAAGGACATATCTATTAGTTTCTCATAAGTTAGAAAGGGCTGAAAGCCAAGAGAGACATCTTGGGAGGAATATGCTAGCCTGTCTACAGCATAGGAGAAAGTCTAAGTTCTGGAGAAAGCCTGGTACACTCTGCCTGTGAGCAGAGAAAGCTGGCAAGTGTCACTGGAAGCCTAAGGGAGACACAGCTATGGGACAGGAGAAAGGTTTGTTTTCTTCACAGAAAGGAAAGCTTGTAGCACCGGTGTTTTAGAGGTAGATGATAAGATGCCTGTGGAAGGAACTTACTAACAAGACCTTCCTTTCGAAGTATCTTTGGCCTGGGAGCAATCCTTTGACAGGATCATATTTGGAATAAAATTTTGGTGCTTTTCTTCTGAAAGGGAATCATGGCTCTTTCTCATAGAAGGGACAGCACATAGCCCCAGTGTTTCAGGGGTAGAAAATAAGCTGCCAGGGCAGTAATGACAAGCAAGACATTTCTGCCATGACTCCTTTGTCTAGGGAGCAACGCCCTTACAAAATAATGTTGGAGGTGGAACCTAAATGTTGGTGGTGGTCTCTCTAAAATAATGACAATTCTTTCCCATTGGAAGGAATGCATATA